ACACACACGCTTTTTTTAAAAATGCTCAAAACAAATGCAAACACTTAAAACACATACTTAAAATACACTTAAACAAACACAGAGTTAAAAAACACATTTAAAACATGCACACACTTAAAACACACTCTTACAACATTAACTTAAAATATACACACACTTAAAACAGACTGAAAAAACTGACTGAAAACAGACTTAAAACACACACACACAAACACTTAAAAACAGACTCTTATAACACACTCACTGAAAAAACACTTACACACAGATGTAAAAAAAAAACACACACTTAGTACACACACAAGCACTCTATCACACTTGAGACAACCTGACACATTTTAAACAACAATGACAGAAAATACTGCAACAACTCACCCAGCTGATTGGCACGAGGTTGAAAGTTCAAAGGTAAGCCCTCGACCTGTGAGTGTGTGTGTGTGTGTGTGTGAGAGAGATGTATAAGCGCAGTGCAGAGCCGCACAAACACACGCTGATGTGAATCACGGCCGACCGAACGACAGAATGAGAGAATGAGAGCAGAGGAGCCGTGTGGGCGGAGCCTATAGCTGAGTGGGCGGGGCCAGACTGCACTGGGGGTGGGGCTTAAGCACAGTCTGCTCAACGAACCTGACACTGTCTCTCTCTCCTTCAGTCTGATTCCTGAGATGCAGGAATGATTCAAAACAAAGGAAAGAGATTCAGGTTTCTTTCAAGAACAAGATTACAATAATATCAATACATCATATTTTAAAGGGAGGAAAAAACTTTTTTTGATCAAATCATTCTGATACTGTATTGGTCGCAGGTTGATGTCTAATACACAATCTGATTCCTGCAGATAAACCAGTGATGCAGAACTATGGGAAAGGGTCAAAGGTCACTCATGGTGGCCAGTATGATGCATCATAATGCTGTTAAAGATCACATGTCAGAGGATTCATTCTGCTGCATCTGTCTGTCTGTCATCACCCGTCTCTCTCATCCGTCTCTCTCTCTCTCTCTATGTGAGTGAATGGACTCTTTGTCCGTTTCTTCTCTTCCCACTGAAACAGCACAGAGGAATCCTGGGAGCTCATGAGTGTGTGTGTGTGTGTGTGTGTGTGTGTACCTG